TGCAATCATTTGGGAAGGAGAATCGTGCATTTCCAAGATGGAACAAAGAGCTATCAAACAGCATATATCTACTGATCACTCACTATTTACTAATTATTTCAATAAACAAGATTTTCTTCTATATACTCTCAGTTTGGAGCTTACAAACAGAAGAGAGGTACCAGAGGGCATGGTCACTGCAAAATACTCTGCCTAGTTAATGAGGATGGACAAACTGATCGGCAACAGATTCCTCTTAGGGATTTGAAAAGTAAAGAATCACCTAATGGGGGATAGTAGATGTGAAGCATATTGGAGAATATACAGATTAGGTTCTCTCTTAAATGATGATTATATGAGAAAAAGTCAGCCATGGAAGATCAAGATATTCCTAGTGAGAAAAAAAAGCATGAGTGAAAGCTAAGTTGGGACACCTAATTAGGAAGGAGGTAAAATCCCAGCTCTAATAGAGAATGTGTTATGAGAAGTCATGGGAAGTACATTTGGAGAGTTGGGTGGTGCTGACTATATCATTGAGTGCATGGTGGTAGGATTAATATAGGAGACAGTGATAAATAAGAAGTTCTTTTTCAACACGAAAAGTAGTATGATGAAACTTGAGTTTGAGGTAATTTAACATGGCACAAGCAGACAGGTTAGACTGGGATAGGGTAGAGACTAGAATCAGGAAAGCTAAATAAGAGGTGGTTGCAAATCATCAGGACTGAAGTTACTGAGGAGTAATATTAAGCGAGTATGTAGTGGAAATGTTGCATTAAAGAAATATAAAAGTTTTTTTTTTAAAGAGACAGAATTTGGGACAGGAAGAGGTCCCACAGGAAATAATTATCTACTTTGTCAGTTAGGCTTGTAACATTTTTTATTTCCAATAATCATTGTATATAATTACATCCTAATCCATAAAGAGGAGTATGTAGCAAAATAAAGGTAGAAATCAACTGCAATGAATAAAAATATGTATTTGCACTACCTCTTAAGATATAAGAGCTGCTTAAGGCTGGCACTGTAAACTTATTGCACCATCTGAATGTGCTAACTTGAAACACCAAGTTTTGCCCTATTCCCTCAAGATGGAAAGACTGCTCTCAGGAAGTCCCCAAAGACACGAGCTCTCTGGAGGAAATACCGTGCACAGAGCTCCCAGAAGTGCACGTCTGAGTACAATTAGCAAAGAAGCGGTAGTTTGCCTCAAATGTCATGGGAATACACAAGGATAAAGGTCATTGCTAAGGGAGCCAGGACTCAAACCACCCAGGGACCCAATGCCTGAAGTCAACACCTCCTATTAGATATGGAAACAAAATAAGTAATACAGATGGCAACCTGATTTGACAACTATCAGAAGGATCTGAGCCGCTGAAGCCACTTATTGAAGTCAGCAACATGTCACAATCTCAGGGGAAATCCAGCTTGATGACTATTTTAGATCCAGTAATACCGGCAAAAGAGACATCTCTAAAAACGTAGGTTGACGTCTCAATACTACAAGCAAATGGTAAATAATCGCACATTATCTCAAGCTAGATGTTGAGATATAAATGTAAAATGGTAATTATTCAAACTGTTTAAAGGCTAATGTCCCAGACTGAAGATTCAGAGAACCTGATCAAAAACAGAGGAAAAATTATGACACCATATAAGCTTGCAGTATTTCAGTGACCTTTAGCATTGAGGACTCACTCTTTGTATTTTACCTCCTCAATTTTCTTTCTTGCACAGCCTGTTGCCCAAAGAAGATGTTGACAATCAGGTTTGTGATTTTTTTTTTTTAAAGGCAACAATGTTCTTAGAAGTCATTTTTGAATGACTATTTTAAACGACCATGATGCTCCAACAGTGTGTTTTGCTTTGTGTGTGTGTTTGGGTTGTGCATGCACATACGTGTGTATCTCTGTGTGTGTGTACACAAAGTAACCTGCCTTTTTTAGCTGGTCAATATATAAAACTCTAACATGATATGGTCTTGAATAGCTTTATGTTTCTGTTTTAAAGAACAAAATTCATGGCCACATTTTTCCTTGAACAAAAACATCGAATTTAGTTACCTTTTCCTATTGACATTGTCTATCAATTTTCCCTCACTATGGAGCAAGGTTTAACAATAGAAAGGGAGTGTGCTGGTGTTATTTTTAAGGCTGAGAAAAAAAAAGGGGGGTAAATATTGGGCTAACAGTTGTCATTGTATCAATAGATATTGACATAACTTCTGACTAAAATTGGGCTTTTTGTTGATTTTTTGAGTCACTCTAAAATTTCTAGGGTGTTGAGATAGACCCATTACGACGTTGAACCTTGGAAAGAAATGCTAACCATACTGTCACCTCAGCAGAGCACACACCAAAAAGGCCCCAGGTCTCTATCAATTTTTTAAAAAGAAATAATCTTTGAACATTTCCTCTGGTTAGCACTGTGCCAAATACTGTGGAGGACATCCAAGCTAATAAGATGTTGTGCTCACTCTAGCAGAATTTACTGTTTTATTGTCATCATTTTCTTGGGTCCAGAAAGCCATAATTCCAAGTGAAGCAACATGGATTAATAGCTGTATTAACCTCAGGTCATTATTGAAGCTGTGTCCCAGGCACCCAGGGGAGAGGAATGGGAAAGAAGCCTTTCTCTTTTCTCTGGCTTTCTCCAGCCTCCCTCCCTTAAATATAGACACATCTTGAATTTTATGTCAAGATTATTTTAGTCACTGATGAAAAAAATCACATAATAATCTCATAAAGTTGATGACTAAACATTGTGGGTTACACAGAAAAGTGGAAATTCATAATTTTATACAGTGCAGAAAATGCACAATTCTACTCCTGAAAGAGCTGGTCCGTTTTCGTCAGTAACCCACTTAGGAAGTCCTACTAAAACGCATACCCTTTCAAAGCCAGGGTATGTCCCCACCAAAAAGCTATGGGGTATATTTACCTGAATGCAATTATACGAAGTACCTTATCCGTTCATAATTGCTATGGAACATACAAGAGTCGTTTATATTCAAGGTACATTACACTCAACTTTTGTGTAAAAACAAAAGGCAAAAAGATTTTAACGGGGGCTTCCCTGGTGGCGCAGTGATTGAGAATCCACCTGCCAATGCAAAGGACACGGGTTCAAGCCCTGGTCCAAGAAGACCCCACATGCCGCAGAGCAACTAAGCTCGTGCGCCACAACTACTGAGCCTGCACTCTAGAGCCCGTGAGCCACAACTACTGAGCCCATGTGCTCCAACTACTGAAGCCCGTGTACCTAGAACCCGTGCTCCGCAACAAGAGAAGCCACCGCAGTGAGAAGCCTGCGCACTGCAACTAGGAGTAGCCCCCGCCCACTGCAACTAGAGAAAGCCTGCGTGCAGCAAGGAAGACCCAATGCAGCCAAAAATAAATAAATAAATTTATAAGAAAAATAAATAAAAGATTTTAACGTTTGTGATCTTGTGTTGCGGTTAGCATAGACTCTGTGTTCGTGGGTGAGTATAAATAAAGCAGTCATTGCAAATCTTGTTCCCTTGGGGCAGGCCCTTTGCATTGTAAAAGCGACACCACATGATTTGCATGGACCCTCACATACCTACCTTTCCACATCCTTACACTATCATAAAATGGCTTTGGATAGATGAAATCCGGAAAGTTTTGACTACACTTATGTATTGACAGCCTAACATTTTATGTGAAAAAGTAAACAAAGCAGGACTATGTATTGAATTTGACAGCCTATTTCCTTGTTCTATGAATATGCAAAAATCCACCTGTTCAGACTTTGCCCATGGTACCACAAGAACAGCACCAACATGCTGATGGACTGACTATATTCTAACATTTCCCAGTTAGGCATGTTCACCAGTCCCAAAATGTGCACTGAGAGATTTGCCTGCTGCCACAGGTAGCCAACTCTGTTTATAAGGAAAACATCACTTGACTACCTAAGCACTTTATGCTTCATATGAACAAAAAATTATACAACAGAATCTCTGTCCCCAAGCTTGCAGCTCGTCAAGAAGGACATGGCATCTATTGGGGTAGTCAAAAGGCATGGAACGTATTTAGGTGTATTTACTCTTCTTACTTTTCAGGAGAAACCAAATGACCTACTGTTACAAAGAATATTGCTTTTTATTCCCTCAGTACCAAATCAATCAAAGTCCTTCCAGCACAGCAGCTGTTGCTTAATGGCCCCAAAGAGTTAATGTATTGCTTGAATCAAACACATTTCAGTGTCTACACCAAGCGGATTCTCAATTAATGTTGATGGATTGACTTTCTCACAAGCAGTAAAAATTCAATTTATAGAAATCGATCCTAAGAGACGAAAGTAAATAATTTAAGAGCACCGTGTGTTGAATTCTATGTTTGGTAACACAGCAATGTGTATAGATATAAGAACTACATGTATTTATTTCCTTTTTAAATAAAAAGCTGTTTTCTAGTTGGCTGACAGATACTACGTCTCAGTCATTTTGAGGCATAATCTAAGCATAGCAAGGCTATAAATTTGGGTGATTCAATATAAATATTCTGATAGTGATATTAGAGTGATTATGAAGAATTTTAAGACTCATATATCTAAAGACAAGACACAAGCTTGTTCATTAGTAATTATAACTTTAAATCATGTAATAAAGATTGCTTATTAGTGAGAAACATTCTATTTGAACTGTTCATTTCAGATTATCTTTAGTGTACAGATTTTGACAACTTTCTACATTATTGTATGCTATTCTGTAAGGAAGAAGAGCAGGTTTGAAGATGTGTCAGAAGTAACCATTTAATCTGAAAGCATAAAGAATTTTCTCTTTAGCTGCCATAGGGTTGTATGGTTTTTACCCTTTGATCGGGTGACAGCTCGAAAGCATCTCCTTAGTCAAAGCAGAGTCTTAGAAAATGAGGGAATGGGCTATTGGGTATTTCAGCAGAGCATTGCTTTTACATCCTATGTCCAAACCAGAGCTGTGCTCTACATTTCAAAAAGTTTGAGCAAATAAACTGACAAGTATCAAACACTACAAGATGGGAAGGGGAATTAGTTCAGAGAGCAAGGAGTCAGGCAAAAGATCAAAAGAACTGGAGAAAAAGCTTCGGGAAGATGCTGAGCGAGATGCAAGAACTGTAAAGTTGTTATTAGGTAATAGCTTTATTTTCTTTTGCCTTTAAAACCCTGATTTTTTTTCAATTGTGATTTATTTACTTTTCTCAAACTTTAGTTTCAAGGGTATTACCACACGGGAGATTTATTATCAAAATGTGTTTGGAACTTGACTTTGTGTGCTCTATGAATATTTACTTGTTTGTTTAGCATTTTATTACATGTCTTTTGTTAAGCACAGAGACAAATATTTACTAGATGGTTCAATTCTCTATGTCAGTAATCTTTTATTATTTTTTAAAAAACTCAGACATTTTTTATTGTACCCGTCACTTCGTGAATACCAACTTTTTATATGGAAAACAACCTTTTAATTACAAGTTATAAAGATTTATGCTAATTTGTTTGAAAATATGTTGAGTTGTTTGATATCAACACTAATATGTTATTTAATTACTTGTACTGTTAAAACCAATTAGTCTCAAGTTATTTGGAGAGTAATGATAAAGTACTTTAAATTATACTAATAATATTATTTAGGCTTCTGAATACTGCCTGTAATATTGTCTGTATGACTGAAAAATACCCCATTTAAATCCTTTTAGGATATTTAAATATTCATTCAGGTCAGGAGTTACATCTCTTCTATCTTTTATTCCCTCAAAATTCAGCACAATATTTTACCACAACTATAAACTTAATAAATGTTTAATGAATTGAAAGAATGAAAATAGTCTAGATGCCACACATTTTTCTAAAAATTTTTAACATGTTATAGTCACTAGAAGATAAATATATTTTTGAAATAACATAAAGACCTATGAAAAGAATACAAAACAGCTTTAATTTAATCATAGCTGTATGTTTCTCCTACTCTTAGTTATACACAAAAGGACTTCATTTTATTTCAGAATTGTGAGTCTTTCACACAACAAAATGCTCTCATTTGTGTGTATGTGTGTGTGTCTGTGTGTCCCTTTACTGTGTCTAATTTGCTCCCAGTAGCAAGAGTACCTCAGAAACGAACTACGGCATTCCCAGCACTTGCTCCTCCAAGGAAAGGAAACGTTTTCTCCCTTTATGCCCAAGTCCTGAGGCCTCACACTTGCCCACAGCACTTGCAAGTAACCACCAAGAGAGGTTGATAATTTGGAAAGATGTAGGGGTCAGCTCTTATGAAACCAGAAAATAGACCTTCCCTAACACTCCAGAGAATTCTCTGAGGCTTTGATCAAGAGTCAAAGTAATAAGTGGACATAGAGAAAACAAAAGATGAGAGGGAAAACAAAGCATTCCTGCAAATGCATTCTGTGTCCTTCTTGTACTCAGAACAATGGCACAGGAATAATAATACAATACATTAGGAATCCCTATGTTTGAAGAAATTTTCAAAAGAATAGACATTTTCAATATACCAATTATTTTTAAAGTGGTGGGCTAGATAAAGCGGAAAGGATAACATTTTATAAGAAATATAAGAGTAGCCCCCGGCTCACCGCAACTAGAGAGAGCCCACGCGCAGCAATGAAGACCCAACACAGCCAAAAATAAATTAAATAAATAAATTTAAAAAAAAGAAATATCAAAGAATCTTAGTGGTATTATTACATCTTTAACTTTCCTAAAACAATCACAATTGCACAAATTCATTTCCAGTGTTACCATACAATAAGCTTGGATTCATCTTGTTCCAACAATATGTCACCAAACTTTTCTGTCACATCTTATTTGCACAAAATGAATCAAATTCTCTTTAGCTTTTCACATTTCAATGTCCAAACACTTGACTAAATTTTCCCTTCTGGACTGTATATGAGTTCTATATCTAATGATTAAGTTGTCAAAGTTCAAAATAATAAAGTTTTGTAACAACTCTGCTTCAATTCTCATGTTTTGAATTGAAAGCAAATTCTATAACCTATAATCTTTATATTCAATTTGGCATCATTAAGATATCATAAAAGCATTCAGTGGAACTAAACAAAACCTTCCCACCCTCTCAAATCCCCTCACTAATGAAATCTATCTAATTTCTCCCATCATTGAGACAACGATTCTCACTCATCAGTCTGAACAACTGTTGTTAAGTTTATCAGTGAGCGGACGTCATGTGGGACTAACCAGGTAAGCGTTGGTAGTAATCGGTCCCTGAGTCTAGCTCTATTTTTATAAAAATTAAAAATCTGAAAAACATTTTCAACAGAATTCATTCTTTATGTTGATCCTCTTGTTATCCAATGAATTTCTAGGTGCTTTAACACAACTTGCAAAATTTAACATGTGCTGTAAAGTAGATGTACCATTTGGTATTACTGAATACACGGTTTCATTTAATCTGAAGAGCTATCTATAATAAAGTGCACTTTACAACTAAAGGATCACCTTGCAGACAGATTCCCTTTTATTGTATCCTTCAGACATTCAGTAAAATTATAGAAGAGATGCAAAATCTGTTCCTAGAAGCAGGCTTCTAGGAAACACTGGAGATGACATACATTCCTGGCTCATTTGATAACTGCTATCAAGACAATAATGTCACATACTTTAAAAAAAAATTAGCCTGTAAAGGTGCCCCAGGAAGAGTGCATTTTAATAAGAAAAACAAATGTTCATGAATAAGCTGTTCTCTTTTGTAAACTTCCTATGTTACTTTTTTAAAAAATCTTAATTTACAAATATTTGAATAAACTTGTATTCTATTCAAAAGAAATACATGTAATTTGATTGTGAAATCAATGTGGATTATGTTTCTGTTTTTCCTGTCCCCTTTCCTTATATTTATTATTTCAAATTTCAGTTCAAATTTATTTATTTACATTACTTTTTTTTTTTTTTTTTACTTTGACAAATTTCTATCACATGAGCTAGTTAGATTCAAAGCTGCGAAGTACAGGGAAAAAATTAGTTTCATTCTTTCTTCATATCTGAAATCTTGCCTCATTCACTCTACAATTTTTAGCTATGATATTGTAGTGAGCTTTTAGCCAGTGATTCCCAACATTGTCATGGACTGTTCATCACTGGTGTTCTATTCCTTTAGTTCTAAAACCATTTTTTTTTAATTTTTTTATGTGCTATCTTGTAAGCATCACACTATCATTTTTTTAATGGTGCCATCTGAGTTTTATCATTTTAAAATATTATTCTAGTCATCTGGCTCTTAGAAACATGAACCTTGGATGGACTCTAAAATTTCTAAATCTACTTTAAATATGTTTATATTTACTTACTAATCAACATCAAATTTTCCAAACTGGCCCACTTATTCAACAAGTGGATGTTTTAGAAGATGTTCCATTGTTTTAGTATGACAGTAGGAGAATTATAATAATTCTGACACTATGTAAAAGCCTGTTAGAAAATAATTGATAAAACTTGCAAAGCAGAATTACCTAAATAGGTTTACCCACCTGGCAGAGTGGAGAGAATACAATTTAAAATTCTGATAGAGTAAAATGTGTTTTTAAGCCATTTGAGGTAAAATTGATTTGTTAATATTTTCATCAAGTGTTATGCTTTTTTCGCTTCTCTGAATGACCTCAGCTAGACACATAACCTCGGAGAAACGATGGGTGTCAAAGAATTTGGTGAATTGTAAAAATCTAGACAAACGTGGTTTACTCTTACTGTATAACAGATTCCTAGATCTGAAATAAATTGAATGTCAGTAAATGTATACAGGTTTTCTTCCTCTTATGTACATCAAGAGAAAAGAGGACATAAGATTCATATCAAAGTTGTTATTTATATTGTATTTGTTTAAATAGGTCTTTAGTTTTAAGAACTATATAAGAACTAAGAACTATATATACTAAGAACTATACTAAGAACTATACTATAACTAAGAACTATATATACTAAGAACTATATAAGAACTAAGAACTATATATGAGTGGGAGTGGATGCAGAAAACTGCAAGTGTTCCTGAGTCACTGGCTAGAGTATAAATTCAACAAGTGTAAGAAGTTCTGTTCTGAATTTCTATTACACCAATAGAGTCAATGCCTTTCTGTGGATGTGATCGCATACACAGATCCCCTGGAATAATTATGTTACACTTAAAACTTGCAAAGAAGAATTAGCAGAATTAGAAAGAAAAAAAATTCTTTCTCATCACTAGTGATAAGAATCTTGTGAACAACATGTAGAACTTATTTCTGAATAAGGTTTCCATTTTTTTAAATTAAAGTCATTCTTTCCTTTCTGTAATATCAATACATTTTTGTTTTAAAATATTTTACAATATTTTATTTTGTTTCTAAAGATATCAATCTTGTGGGTGCACAAATATTTTTAATACAAATGTTTAAAATTGTTTTAGAGTAAATGGAGAGAAAACAGGCAGAAAAGGTCTACTTGAAGAATTTCAAATCATCTCAAAGCAATGAACTATTTGCACCATAACAATTTGAAAGCTCCAGAGGAAAAGCCAAATATTTGCAGTTGTATTTATTTATAAAGAATGGCAGCTGGCAGCATCAAATAGCTTTTTACAATGTCCCTTTTTTCTAATAGGAAAAAAGCACTTAGACGAATGTTTTGCATATATTTGGTTGTTTGTTTTAATTTATCTCAAATAATCAGGACACATTAACCATAGGCTCATAAGTCTCTCACATAAAAGATGCAAACCATTCATTAAGGCATTCCATATTTAGCCAAATGATGGTATTTGTTAATGAGATTAAATATCCTATCTTGCTGAGAATAGCTCTCGTTAACTACAATTTAGCAGAACCTCTCTAGTTATATCAGAGCATTTTTATATTCATTTGTTTTATTCAAACCTGAATTAGTGACTCAAGAGCAATACTGTACCTTTAAAAACATTCATATAAGCAACATGAGCAGTTAACAAAAATCGTTTACCCCTCCATTGTGTTAGAAAGAGGGTAGTGAAACAACTGATGGTGTAAAGGCTCCATGATATATTTTACATAAAATAAAATATACTTCCAGTTAAGATTTAGATTCAAATTCAGAATCCATCTCCTTATTTAAGTTTCCTCCAAATACATCAATGTAGCATTTGCACCTAA